TATTTGAAGATAAAGCTACGCCGAAAAAATTAAAATACAAGAGCACCCGCATTAAACATGTTAATAAATAGATATCTCGCAATTGTACTCTTTTGCTATTCAGAAAAATGGAGAAAATACGAGAAGGTTCTCGTGCGTGATCAGAAAGCTTATAAAAGCGGAAGGAAAAATTCTCAATTCAGTTGTTTAGTAGATGTTTACTTATTGCTGTTAATGATTGTAGCGAATTCGAGATGAGATCGGATTAGTTTTCTCTGTTTATTATATTATTATATTATTATATTATTATTATTTACATGAGTTTTATTGATATTTTAGTAGTTTAAAATATAACTGCTGTGAGATATTGCAATGTTGTACGAATATCTCTGAGGAAATTTAAGCATTTTGTCTTATTTGTTGTGATAAGAATAAATTTTATTCACTTTCATCGGGCTTATGCATTCAATTTATTACTAACCGGTAGGCACGCAACCTTATTGTTTAGAAAATAACATAAAATCTTTGTAACTTCTCAATATTTCCGACCATGGGAAGCCAATTCATATAGATCAAGATACTATACGTAACATTGTAGCAGTGGTTTATCCCCCCCCGTAATGGACCTTGACTATATGATGCAATAACATTGAGATATGCATTCTGAAAAATCATCAGTATTGTGCATGAATTGTAATTGTTTGCTTTATTCGTAGTTATAGTACGTTGTAAAGTAATTTGACTCTTAGAAAATACAACTAAGTATTTAACTGCTTAATTAGGTTTGAAATATTTTGGTACCTCAAAGAAGATGCTCAGGTGGTTTGAAATATTTTGGTACATCAAATAAGAAAAGTCATCTGAATCAGTTAGATGCCTTATTAATACCAGCTGATGATAAACTTACATTAACTACTCATCTGAAGAAAATTTATACTATAAGTCTTATTCTTACCGCTTGCTTTCGTGGTGTAATTCGAAAGCACTTCCGGCTAGCAAACGAAAGGTACAGAGCTCGAATCCCGACGAGAGCATTGCACATTTTTCGCATTTCCTGCTTCAAGAGACGTAATGATTTTACAATACTTTGCAGTTGATCATAAATGGCATTAGTCAGTACCTCTTCTGTTCATTTACATCTATCTTAAGTCAAGAGTGGGTAAAGTGAGAGATCTGACATCAAGCTTCCGTTATTGGCTGAAGAATTTATGGTGATAAATCCTAGAATCTGAAACTCCACCAACCATCAGGTGAATTAGATTATTGAGTGCTATTAATTCGTCCCAGCTTCGGTTCGAGGCGACCATGCTGGCTGCATAGATATTTCATAGTTTGTATCAAATTTAAGATAAATAGAGACCAGTTTTCTAGAAAAAACTTCTCGATGGCATCGCTCTTGAAGCATATAGTATTTGTCTGCTTTACTGGAATCAGTTAATCAACCACTCGATTTGGCATTAACCATTTATTCAAATTTTCATACGTTTTACCTTATTTTATTTTTAATTTTTGTGAAATATTTACATTTTAAAAAATTACAAAATCCTCTTTTCCTGCCTTCGTTACTTTTTAAAGCGCAAGAATTATTATTAAAGTATACATAACACCGTGTAAGAGAGGCCGGAGGACAACTAAAAATTCGGAAGAAGACTTAATACACTTAAAATACGAAAAGCAGTAATACATTTAATTAGAGAAAAAATTTTTATGGACCTGTACTTCCAAGTAAATCGATTTCCCCACTTAAGAGTTTTCTTCAGGAAAATATTTCGCCAAAAAATTTTTAAGCAGAGAGTTATTAAATTAATAACAGTGAAAGTTAATTAGTTTAACAGTGTAATTTCTTTAAAGCTGTGTTAAGCTTTCTGAATTTTTTTCTCCTTTGATTATGCATGGTGTATCACAATTATTGTGATTTGAAAGTTGATTGCATTTGTAGGCTTGTTAAATAGAAGTGCAAATACTAATATTATCAATAGATAGATACATGAGAATACAAGTTTATGCTACGTAGCTGCAAATATTCAGTGCGTTTTTCGTTAGTCGCATGGCTGATGCACATACAGTGTTTTAACCTTTGGCGTACTTTAATCAACATATTTAGTGTAATGGTCTCTACAATGACAGTGATATTTTTCTGCAAATTAAGTATAAGTAGTTGCGGCACAAATACGTGCAAACCTAAGCTGTCTTCTTGCAAATTTGTGCTGAAATACTTCATATAACGGTTGTAAGTCTATTACACTAGACATGCTGATCAAAGTGTTACAGGAAATAGAATGCCAAATGGATGTGCGCCGTGTAACTAAGGATTCTCATTTATAGATGTGCATCATACATTCTTTAAATTCTATTAGTATTATTCCTTGTGTTAGCATGCTTATGAATATAATCAATTTTCAAACCATTGCAATCATCATGACGTATCCTGTATTATTAAGCTGTAGAGTCATTAAGATTCTTCCCTTTTTTTTTTTTTTTTTTTTTTTTTTTTTTTTTTAAAAAAGCAGAAAACGTGAGAAATGTGTATGCCCTTCCCAGAACTCGAACCTAGACCTCTCGAAGCTAGACCTCTCGAATACGCGCCAACTGTGCTACCGCTACACCACAAAGACCTGCTGGAAGGACGGAGGAAATGCCTTATTAACACCCCCCCTTTTAAAGGACGACTGGGAATTAGGGGATCCGGTCGCCAAATCCCGATGGTGACAAATTTTCCACCACCTTATAATTCGGGTGCCACTGTAGAACATTAGGATTTTTTTTAAGTAGGGGACGTGAAAAATGTGCAATGGCCTGGACGGCACCCGAACCAGGAGCTCTCGAATACGTGTCGAGTGGGCTATCGTTACACCACGACACAAAGACATGCTAAGAAGGAGGTGGAAAATAAATTACAGAGTGAAGACCAAAATACTAAACATATGACTAAATATGCAAAGGAAAATAGACCATACTTTTTTCTCATGTACAAGTTACCGCTTGTCACATGCAAATGAAAGCATATCAGCAACAAAACATGACACATTTATCTAAAATATATTTATTTTATTTACAGGAATTTAGAAAATGCACTGGTAGACGAAATAATGCCGGATAGGAGTTGGTCATTGCCATGAGTCATATGCCTCAAAAGATGAACAGTTCTCCAAAATCTATTATTTTCCATTGCACTGTAAATTAGAAACTGTCTCAAAATTCTAAATTAAAATATTGCAGAAAAGCCATACAATTGATTTAATCCTATATCTCGCTAGAAAATGCATTTATGGTTTATTTTCCGCAATTAATAAACTTGCTTTTAGTGAAAGGTATTGTGCTAATGGTTTCTGGGTTCGCAGTGAAGCAGTACTACTACTAAGTTTTGGATTTAACGTTACATAAAACCAGATTCAGAGAAAAAAAACTGTCTTAAATAATGTTTCCAGGAAACTTACGCTGTTAAACGCTGAGAGAGTCAATTATGTAATCATTTTAATAAGCAAGAAAAATTCTCATTTAAAAAGCATTTAATTCACTAATTGAATTGAAATTATTTCCGAAATTAGTTGCTGAACACAAATTGCTGAACTACAAATTGCAAGCACTTAAAACGTTTTTTTTTTTTTTTTTTTTTTTTTTTTTTTTTTACTTTTGTATAATATATCTTTCATAATCCCATAGTCAAAAATATTTCATGGTTTATTGTTTAAATTTTATCAAAAAAAAAAATGAAGATAAACGAGAACTAGTTATCTTTAAGTTCATATCCAAGAGTATAATATATTTATTCCAAGCTTTGAAAGTTTAAGTAGATACTGCAATTAATGAATTTAAAAGAATTGTATAAAATTTTAATTTTGGAAAATTACAGCAGAAGCATTGTTTTATATTTTTTAAGGCAGACTTTTCAAAAAGTTTTATTACTCATGATAACTACTAAAGTTTTCAGAAATTTAAAACATTAAATGTCTAATAAAAAATATAACGGCAAATATTTATCCAAAGCAATTTTATACCAGTAAGAGATAATTTACTCATAATCTTCCCCCGAAAATGTTTCTTCTAATTCAGGCAATAGTAAATTAGGAGTTCCTTCAACCTTTTTCAGGTTTTACGATATTTTCATAATTTTAAGAAAGCGGTTGTAGATTTATGATCTTGCGATGTTTTTGCATTTAAAATTGCTTTAATTTGGTGATTTGTCATCAATTATGTATCTTAACATCTGTTTTTAAGGTATTCTTGACAGATATTTGGGTTACCGTTTAAATTTATCTTTTCTAGTGCATCGAAAATGAGTTCTAGTTTGGTTCTAGCATCCGTGTTCTAGCCTCTTTTCGCTTTACTAGATTTGGCGACTATCAATATTTTGGCGAATTCAAAGAAACGTTTGATTCGATTAATATACAGATGTCTTGAAAATTTCTTAACAAAAAAAAATTATATTATTCTGGTATCATTAAAATATTGCTAATATTTCAAAATTATATTACTTTAGGAAATTAATATAAAAAGTCTTTTTTATTTTTTCTTCCTCTTTTTTAAAATGACTTTTCATGTCTGGAGATCGTTTAATAATTTGTTTGTGAAATTTAAATACGTTGAATTCGATCAAGAGAACTCGGAATCCATGCTACAAAAATTGTGGACTAAACTCGAGTACCACTTGGATGTAAACATATAGCATGTGGAGTGTGTGAAAAAAACTTGGCGACATACCGGTTCTTTCATAAATCAGTTGTCACCGATCTGTTAAAAAAATACAATACTTAAAAACACAACTGTGCAAGAAATTTTAAAAATATAGTGCTTTGAAACCTGGAGAATCATTTTATTATGCATAATTTTCATTTTTTTAAAGTTATCAAAAATTATGTGAACTGAGATTAAAATCTTAAATATAATTTTATTGTTTATGAATTAATTAAATATTTTAAATAAATACAAACCCATGAAAGAATGACTTTAACATATAAATAGTTGTAGTGCGTTTAATACATAAAAATGCGACACTTTTTGAAATAAATTATGCCTTTCTTCTCTAATAATTTTTATTCAATAATAAGGATAATACACATCATGTGGAAATGGGGCGTATGGTGGATTAGGTGGATTGGGTGGATAGTAGTCGGGTGATGAGTGTATGACATCTTGCTGTTGCCATTTGAAGCCGACTTCCCTGTGAAAGATATAAAAATGCTTACTCTAATGAAATTCATATGAATTTCAAGTACTCTGAAATGTCATTTTTTCTAAATCTTATTTTACACATAAAACTTTTTTTCCGTAAATGATATTCTCTTTACCAATTCTTCATAGATAATAAAATAATTTTAATAAAGCAATTAGGCTACGTTTATATAGAAAAATTTTAATACGTAATAAATTAAGTGTTATCAATATATACGGAATGAAAAATGAGCTTTTCATTAATGTAGGAAAATTTCTTAGACATCATTATATAGAATACTATTTGAAATTATTAATTATAATAAATGAAAAATCGCATTTGATTTATTCGAATTTTAACATATTTTGATGTGAATTTTGTTTATAGAGATGCAGTTCTCTATTACTAGAGTTAAAACAGAAAATGTTTTAAATAATTCAACCTTCACTCTTGCGCAGTTTTGCTTTCCACTTTTATCTGTTATGTAATGCTACTGTAGTTAAAGTACTGCTACTGTTTTATTATGCTACTGTAGTAAAGTCAAGCTGAAAACACCGCCAGGGAAATCATTCTCTTTATATAAATTATAATGTAATATTCTGTATGAAATTGTGGGGTTCGCATTGCGCCCATGATCATGTGAGACGAAAAATATATTTGATAATTATTTGTGTTCAGCCATAAACATTTTATTTAATTCGGCCACGTCTGCCTACAAGTTTCTCCTTCGAGGGTCATCTTTCTAACTACGCAGTTAAGTCTCTCCATAACCCAGAGAACCATCTTCAATCCGTTGTCTCCAGTAAAAAAACTGCGTTCTAACTCTACTTGCTACGTCATCAACATTGACGTTTTTTCCTTTTCATCACAACATCCCTAAATATAGTAGATAAAAAATGCAATCAAATATAATTAATCCAAGTCATAAAGGTACTGTCCTGTATATTTATTGCTATAGTTTAGCCAATCGGAGAGAAAAATTAATAAAGTGTTGCAATTCCACCTCGCCAACATGGACTACCGCTACGAAGGGTGAAATCCAAAAATTACAAGTTGTGCAAAACCGATTTTTAAGAATTATCACAAATGCACACCCGTATGTGAAGAACAAACGTCTCCATGAAGATTTAAAAATGGATACAATAGTGGAATATTTAAGAACTAACACGGCATTTTATGACGCCGCTAAGGAGTGCCAACATATGGACATTTTCAACCTATTTCACTATGAAATTTTACACGAGGACAGGCACCTCCGTCCATATGCCGCTTTTCTACTCAGTGGAAACCAGGATTTTCCAACATAATTTGTGTTTTTAAGTATGTAGTACTCTGAAAAACTTATTTGACTTGTAAATAATGATGTTTAGAAATCTTAGCCGGATGATCATGTGACACACACAGCCACGCCCACAAGATATTACTTATATTTTTCCTGTATATACTATTTTACTTTTTGGAATCGTATTTTATTTTCTGCATTTATGACTGCAACACACACCTTTTATGAACTGATTTAGTACTATTTTATGTATAACTATTGTAAAAACTTCAGATTTACAGCGCTACGATGCCTGGATACCTCATCGCCAACCAGATGTCTTATCGCTCATCACGTGACATTGGTCACACCCCCCTGCATCTGCTATCCTGTCTCCACGAGAACTACGTTCGGCATTTCCTTACCTGCAGCGCTCCTAGAAGCACCAAAGTTCGATAGCCGGAACACAACCTGCGATTTCGCAGGTTAATCGCGGCAAATAAAGCAAGTTGGGTTGGACCCCACCTTTCTGTGTTTTTTTCTAAGACTATCTTGAGTAATCGCCAAGGGGGCCAGGAAATTTGGATATGTTTCAAAGTCCACGAACAATTTTCACCAGAGGTATCGAAGGAGACTCCCAAGGCTACCACGGCCGGCGAGAGCGAGGTGAAAAGAGGAGTATGACAGTATGACATAGACAGACAATCGTCTATCCCACGCGAAGGTGGTAACAAAACTGCATATACGACAGCTAGTGCGAGTAGGCACTAAGCTGATATGTTAAAAAATATGTAAAAGCTATGTAGAATCCTGTTTGTAGGAAACGGCACTGTGACTCGGTTTAATGTAACCTTTTCTGTTATTTTCATTAAATATTCTGTGATGTGGAAAACGTTGGAATTGTTATTGACCCTAGGAATATTCATCTTCAATTCCCCTACCACAGAAAATCTGGGGGGGGGGGCCTGTCCGGGATACTTAGATACTTCAGAGAATGTACTGTGAAAACTTTGCTTTATCTCTTTCTTGAAGACAGTGATACTTCTGTTTCGTTTTTAAAATGAGTTTCTTGAATAATTTAAAGGAAAGTGATTTAATAGCAATTGCGGAACAAATCGGAGAGACTGTTCCAGAAAATGCTAAAATAGCTGACATTAAAAAAATTATTTAAAATTCTGATGCCTTCAAAACGAACGTTAAATTTGTTCGTGGCCTCGTCAAATCGGGCGCCGAGAATAGGACGCCTACAGTAAGTAATGAACACTATCTGTTAGAGATCGAACGTCTTAAATTAGCTCAAATTGAGAAGCAGATTGAGCTAGAAAATTTAAAACCACAATCATTATCGGGTGATAGAAGAAACGCGCAGACTAGTGTTGGAAGATATCATTAAAAGCGTCAAAACACTAACTATAGCTCTACCCCAGAAACCGGAAGCTCTGCATTTGTTTTTCCATTCACTTGAGAAAGCTTTTACTACTAAAAGCGTACCAGTGGAGTTAAAATCAGAAGTGTTGATTAATTTATTAGGTGATAAATGTAATAACGTTTTAACATATGTTTATGAACAAGAGATCGCGGATTATGATAAATTAAAAACTCTAATCTTGAAAGAATTTCAGCCTACACCGCGTGAATGTTTGAATAATTTTAAAATTGCGCAGAGACATTCATCTGAATCGCACATTCAGTTCGCGTTTCCGACTCAGCGCAACTCTCAATTATTATTTAAGTTAAGAGAAGTAGATGATTTTAAGAAATTGTGTGATCTCTTTGTATCTGATAAGTGGTATGAAACTCTTGATTCTAAAACAAAGGAACATATTAGTGTTCGGGAGGGCCAAAGTTGGTTCCCACCTAATCAATTGGGAAGAGAATGTGATTTATTTTTTTTATCCAGGGTAAAGTCTTTAGCTGATACCAGTAACACGCGAATCGAAACTCAGAACGTATTTGCTATGTATGTGGGGATAAAGGTGAATTGTTTCGTTTTGCGAGAAATTGTCCCAAACGATTAGAAAAGGAGGAAAGTTTGTCTCAAAAAAAGGTATCTGGTTTAAAAATTGGATCGAATAGTGCAGCTAGATATAAGTTAGAATTTATTGAATTGTTGACTGATGGTAAGAAAGTAAAATGTTTAATAGATTCTGGAAGTGAATAAATAGTTGTAAAGAAATCTCTTTTTCCGAATAAAATATCATGTGGATTTATAGAACTAAAAGTTTTGATCCACATGGTTAAAGTAGAAACGGCTAAGTTTATTTTTTCTTTATGCGAAAGCAAAAAAACAAATAAAGCTAGAAGCAGCGATGGTTTATGACTTGATAACAGATTGTATTTTACCTTCCTCGTGTTTAATGGATATCTGTTCTAATGGGGTGATGATTACGCAATATGAAAATGATTCCATCTCTCCGGAAAGGAATTTTTTTGTCTTTTATTTCTGAAGCCATTGAGGGAGACAGCAAGATAGATTTTTGGTACATTAAGGATGAAGGATTATGCAATAATGTTTCCACTCTTATTAATGAGTATAAACCGTTAAAAAAGCCGCGCAGTTTCTCAGCGTTCGAGGAGAATTCCTTTTGCTGACCAAAAAATTGTTAATGTCAAATAGATGAATGGTTAAAGGATGGGATTATAAAGCCATCGTTTCCAGAATATGCTTCGCCAATTGTTTTGTGTAGAAAAAATTGTAGCAAGACGAATTTGTGTTGACTTCAATTAAATAAAAAAATAGTTAAGGATTCTTTTCCCATGGCACAAGTAGAAGGGGTTTTAGATCGTTTGGGTGAAGCAAAGGTTTTTTTCAACATTAAATTTAAAAAATGGTTTTTTTCATATTTCCGTGGAGGAAAACTGCACTAAATACTTGGCATTTATTACTCATGCAGGCTTGTACGAATTTCTAAAAGCACCTTTTGGTTTGTGCACATCCCCTAGTGTGTTCCAAAGATTTATTTGTTATGTGTTTAGAGATTTAATTCCGTATGACACTGTTGTTACTTACATGGACGATTTTATTATTCCAGCACGAAACGAGAAATAAGGTTTGGAAAAGTTAAAACGCATTTTAGAAGTAGCCAAAGAATACGGTTTGGAGATCAATTTTAAGAAATGCCAATTTTTGAAAAGAAAAATAGAATTTCTCGGGTATGTTATTGAGGATGGTACAATTCGCCCCTCTACTGAAAAAAACCAGGGCTGTTCAAAATTTCCCGGAACCCAAAAACCTTAAGCAGATTCAGAGTTTCTTGGGTCTTACTGGGTATTTTAGGAAATTTATTGCCAACTATTCAAAAATAGCGAAACCACTAAGTGATCTTCTTCGTAACGGAGCAGAATTCAAATTTGGGCCTGAACAAAAAGAAGCATTTAGCAAACTGAAAGAACTTAAATTATAATTAATAATTTTAATTAATAAATTGAAAGAACTTTTATCCACAAGTCGGTTCTTCATATTTTCAAACAAGGAGCACCATTAGAATTGCATACAGACGCAAGCAGTCATGGTTTCGGCGCTGTATTGCTACAAAAGTCAGATGATGGACAGTTACACCCCATTTACTTCATGAGTAAAAAAACTAGTCTCCAACAAGAGAAGCTATCTAGTTATGAGCTTGAAGTTTTAGCTATAGTAGAAGCTCTAAAGAAATTCAGGAATTACCTTTTAGGATCTAAGGTCAGAATAATTACGGATTGCGACGCTTTCCAGAAGACTATGTTCAAAAAAGATTTAACTCCTAAA